GATGTTCACCAGAAGATCGCAGTATAGAATTGTAAGTAATAGTTATCGACTATGAAATCTAGTCTGAATTTCCTACGATCTGTTTTATTTTATTTATGCTATTAGTAAAAAAATTAATTTATTGCGAGTATTAACAAAAGAAAAGAGTAAATATTCTAATCTAAAATATATTGCAGAACGAATTATACTCTAAAGTGCTCATGTCTGAGCCAAACGTACACAGCGACTTCAGTAGACTAGCGCGGTGGCTGACTGGCACCTCGGTCGGTCTTGTTCTAGGTGGAGGTGGTGCAAGAGGCGCTGCTCACGTGGGCATGCTAAAAGCCATCATCGAAGCAGGTATACCTATAGATATGATTGGTGGTGTCAGCATCGGCGCCTTCATGGGTGCTCTATGGTGTATGGAAAAAAACATCACTACTACCACACAAAAGGCTAGAGAGTGGTCCGAGGTGAGATAAAATAGATTTCTCGATTCCCATTGTCGTACTCTGGATTCTTTTATTATTATTAGATTTCTAGAGTATAATATATAAATCTGTGTAAATCTACCAAATTATAATTTTTTTTTTCCCCAAATGTCTGCATACTGAAATATATAGATTTATTTCTTCTTTATAACTGCTTAGAGAGCCTTACCATCGAATCGAAAAATGTTTGTATACAAAAATACTATATTTATTTTCCGATAGAAAATGACTCAATGGTGGCGGCAGATTATGGACTTAACTTATCCGATGACTTCGATGTTCTCTGGTAAAGATTTTAACAAAACGATACAGCAGACTTTTGGTGACACATATATAGAGGACTTGTGGCTCCCATTTTTCATTATAACCACAGACATCACGGACTCCTGTATGCGCACGCATAGACACGGTCTGTACAAATCTAGTTGCCTTAAATTTTCTTCTAAATATTAACAAAGCTTCTAGTTTGATTTAATTTTCGTACATTCGTCCATTGGTGTTTTATTCATTTATGATTTTTAAATATAAAATTATACAATAAATAAAAATTGTTATGGTGGTAAACTTTTTTGATGTCTCAAAGATTCTACAAGTGGATAATGCAGCCAAATATAACGAGAAGCTTTGATATGTTATTAAAAAATAATAGTAATATATCTATATAGAGTGAATCAAAAAACAAGTACGTAAGAGATGTGTTTCATTCTATAGATTTCATTCTAATATCTTCATAGATTTCATTCTAATATCTAAAATTATTTCGGCAATCGACTTTGGATGTCTGTATGAAAAATAGAAACATATGAGACATCGTTCTTTCTTGATTCACACCATAGCTTTGTCATGGCATGTAAACTTGTTTTTGTTTTAGATGTGCACATTAGCATGATAGTAGAAGCTTTAAAGAGCGGGAGTGAGCTTTCCGGATAACTATTGTTGACGTACTCTCCGTTTAATACCATTTTTAAAGAAAAATCCGAATGAGACATATTTTTATTTTCACTCGAATATATAAAAATTATAAATTAATGTGCATATACTTCCTGTATGTTTTTAATACTAAAATTACAGTATGGGAAAAATATTGCTCTCAATTATACTCCAAAAATTACTGTTTAAAAATTTGTAAATAAAATAAAGTATGCCATTAATTGTTCTTAAATAGAAAAAAAGATTAAATTCAATATGAATAGACTGAATGTGAAAACATCTAAAAATCTAAAGATATCGTAATATTATTATTATTAACATTGTTTTATATCATCAATAGAGTTCGATCAAAACTTTTGTCGAAACTAAACTGAAACACTCGACTATATATCAATTTCCACCGAAACTGAAACCAAAATTAAAAAATAAGAATCCTATAAAGACCATTTGTATAGACATGTTCATATATCATATATTTTTTTTTCATAAATATCATAATTTATTGAAACAATAATTAAACTCAGACCGAAATCGAAGTTTCGGTTGTGTGTCAATTTTGGCCAAAGAATATAAGTACTTCTTCGTAAATACCATAATTTAATTATTGAAACAATAATTACACATATTAAAATTAATATTTATGAAGAAAAGCTATATGGTTTTAGTCAAAACTGATACGTAGTGAGTGTTTTCAGTTTCGGTCGGACTCTAATCAATATTGTTGACTCATCAATATTGTTGCAGTTCAATCAATTTTGATTAATATGATGTTTCTTATTACATACACATAAATTCATATACAGAAAAAAATTTAATTAATTACTGTTAGTACTAAGAATACAGGAAGTATTTAAGAACACAGGAAGTATTTCGGATAATGTATACCGGTAAATGTAGGATATTAAAGAGAATGATTCTTTAGGATCGCTGTGGCGGTACATTCGGGCCTCGATGTCATTGTCTGGTTATATGCCACCCATGTGTGACCCTGTTGATGGCCATCTCCTACTCGACGGCGGGTACGTCAATAACCTTCCAGGTAATTCAAATCGCACTGATGAGCGGCAATCTTTGCATGGTCAGTGTAGAACTTAAAGCAAAACACCATATTGATGTCAAGATAATATGAAATTTATTTAGGAGGCACCACTAGAAATTTACACTTTTTATATAATAAAATCTGTGCTGATAATTTTCTTATATAATAAAATCTGAGTTAATAATTTTACAAATGCATATAAATTATATAATTTGGCAATTTATCGTGAAAATGATATTAATCGTATATTTATTTTATGACAAAATACTAACTCTTCTTTGAATTTTAATTAATTGGTTATCTAATTTTAGTTGGATTCTGTATTATTTCATATTTACCTTGGCACGATGTTGAAGATTTATTTATAAATGTTACTGAAATACAATAAAAGTATGAAATCACGAGAAACGTCAAGCTCACTCCCGTTGATAAAAGATGCAATTATCAAATTCTGAATAGTTAAGTCCGCTCAGGTTTACTATGGAGATATATTCGCGGCAGTATGACTATCGCGGGAGTCTTTCCTCCCCTTTGCGATCCCCTTGATGGGCATCTTTTGGTCGACGGGTGTTATGTTAATAACGTGCCAGGTACTCGTCTTTTCTATCATTTATGTTAATCCTGATTATAAGCTCTCGATGTGGTTCTTGATACTTTCAATCATATATAGTCAGTATATTCTTTTCTTAGAAAAATATAGCATAATAAATCTATAGAAAAAAATATATAAATTTTATGTACGTAGAAAATATATATATAATTCTACGTGAACAAATATATCATATATATATATATATATATATATATATATATATATAAATTAAAGCTTTTATAAAATAGAATTAAATTGATATTAACATTCTCGATTCATACATTCTCCACATTTTCATTTAAGCTGACGAAATGTTGCGGCAAGGAGCACATCATATTCTGGCCATTGACGTCGGGTCACAAGACGACACAGACTTGACGAATTATGGGGACTCGTTGTCCGGTTGGTGGTTACTGTGGAAGCGGTGGAATCCATTTGCTACACCCGTGAAGGTGCCAAATTTACCAGATATCCAATCTAGATTGGCGTATGTGAGCTGTGTTCGCCAGCTAGAAGAGGTGAAAAGTTCGGATTATTGCGAGTACATTAGACCGCCGATTGATAAGTACAAGACCCTCCAATTTGCCAATTTTGACGAGATCAAGGATGTGGGATACCAGCATGGTAAGGAATTGTATCATTATTTATGTTAAATCTAAATCTATTGTAAAGGATTGTAAATCAATGTTAATAAATGTTAATAAATGTTATAAATGTTTATTATAATGTAAATTTCATATTAATAAGAAATGAAATGTTTGTACACACTTAAATATATCTACAAGATTGAAACGAATCACATTCTTCAGGGAAAACATATTTCGAGGGTCAATCAAAAGCCGGAGTTCTCCCTCAATTCAACGCGGATCGAGAGAATGCGAGAGCTATGCGAGCGAAATATCAAGCGGCTAATCAACAGTCACCCTCTTCATACACTTTCACCGATCTTGCGCAGATGGTGTGTAAAGTTTCGCGTGGTAGCCGATACATCGATCTCGATATAGATTCAGATTCGGACGAACTAGAGGAGTACGAGGCGGACTTGGAAGAAGATGCACAAGAAGTAGGATACGCGTCTGAACCCACTGCCGGTATTTTAGATCAGGCAAGTCTTATTTTTTATTATTCATGTTAAATACAAATCTCTGTATTTGTTACACATACAAGATTAAAAATCAATTAGGAAGACACATCTAATTTTTTTCCCATTTTCTGTTAGAAAAGATTATATATGCTATCAATTTTTCAATTTCTAAAATCATCCTATGTATCAATATCCTATGTTTCAATTTCTAAAATCATCTTATGTATAAAATCATCCTATGTTTCTATGAAAGATCCCTAAAATTCTGATTGAACATGTATATTAAATATTATATAATGTAAAATAAGAGATTAAAATATTTACCTTTCATATTATGTATTACAAAATATAGTAAATATTTTTATTAAATTTCTTCATAATAATATAATTATAATTTTAATTTATTTTAGAGTCCTGAGGATAATCGTCTGAGACGAAGAACTGGCGTTTCACTTAGTCTATCCGACACCGAGGCAGAGTCGGAATTAGAGTATCATCCAAAGATTTTTTGAATACTTATTTACAATTATCCATAATATCGTATTTGTATAATTCGCTCAACGAGAAAAATTTAACAGAATTTTCTCAAACATATAACTTTACTACTTGGATGCACTATGAGTGATTGACCTACATCGAAGTACAAAAACAATGATTGCAATTGTATAATCACGGGAATGCTCTGAAATTATGTCACAATGCAATGTGTACCGTTTTAACATAATAAGTAATTAATATTATTATTGTTACTATTAAACATTATGTTAAATATAATTTTACGATTTCTAAAAAAAAGTTATTTATTATTTCAACATTATATCACACCTTATATAAATTTCATTTTTGCACTAAAAATTCATTTTTGCATAAAAATGAAAATAAGAGATATAACCTCCATTAGCCTTGATTTTGACAAATGTTATTCAGAACATGATCCTGAACGACATTCAAGAGGTTTTTAACCGTCGGTCGGATACCTTGCATAATGCTAATGTTAGTGTTACTGTAACTTTCAAGCCTTATAACTCGAAAAGTACTTCATGAAAAATTATTTTATTATAGTGTTTTAGAGAGCTCTCTAGGTGTGTTATAAGAATATGCAATGAAAAATAGGAGATTCCATTTAAAAATTTCAACTTGATCTTCATATGACTTTGCAGATTCCACTCAAGTCAACCTCTTATCATCAGTTAGGTAGATTTTTTAAGTCCTACAACTTTGCTTTTATATATTTTTCGCTAGAGTTGATCGTTTTCGAAATATTTTAGCATTTCCAGATTTTTTGAAGACTCTGTGTGTGTGTGTGTTGTGTGTATATTGATATTTCATGTCAGATCTTGTATTTCTCACAAGAATTATTTCGTCATAGTAAACATCTTAACAGATCAAATTTCAATATTACAATATTTTACATTATATTATATTAAAAATCACTAGTCATTGACAAATTAGGGTCCAGAATAGCTAATACCGCGCCATTCAAATGTAATGATCCTGTTACAAGTACCTCTATTTTATCGTTACTATCCATCTGTGACGACACATATTTCTTAATGTCATAGAGCACTTCGACAACGGTATTCTTCGACACAGAGTTATCACCCCACAACGCACAGTGTTTTTTACATTTCTTTCTCTGCTCGTCGAGTAGCATATAATTTGATAAATCCTCCACGCTAATCATTCCAGTGCAATTTGGAGCAAAATAAACTCTATCAAAATTCAAAGGTTTCAGCAGTTTTAATAATTCCAGAGAATTTCGATCACCGCTGATATTAAATATTAGGAACTTACTAGAGGTTCCCCGACTAATTCTCTTGAACCATGATATACAGTTAACGATACTCTCGATCGTATGAGCACCATCCAGAAAAAAATCTGCCACACTGGTCCTTAGAATCTGCATGCGAGCTGGCCATTTGCAGTTCATCAATGCAGTCGCAACTTTATTTGGAGAAATAATTGGTGATAAATCATTCTTTTCGCTTTGGAGATTGTAAAAACCATTAGTGTATTTATCGTTTATAATAGATTGATCGTAACGTGATTTCATCCACTCGTGTGCTATGCTGATCGACAACAAAGCATTCTGTTGCTGCACGCTTTTAATATCAATGCCTGCCAACGAGAAAACATCGTTCCACTTACAACCTTCAGTCGTAGAAACTATTCGTAAATCACGACATTTTTTTTCTACGGCTCGTTTCTGTAGAACGTGCATCGCTGAATCTGGTTGTGGCACTGTGAAAGCAATCGTATGTGGTTTGAAGATTCCAGACTTCTGATAAGCAATCTCTTCCAGAGTATTGCCTAGCAGTGAGGTATGTTCTAAACCAAGGCTCGTTATACCCACACAAACCGGATTTTGTAGGATGTTGGTACAATCCAGTTCGCCACCGATTCCAACTTCAATGATCGCTACGTCAACATTTGCCTCCAGGAACACGTGGAATGTGAGAATCGTTAGAAACTTGAAGTACGTTGGCATGTCATACTCATATTCCCGTTTTTGTTCTAGGCGTTGATATACATTCCAAAAGAAACGAGTGAAATGTGCTTGACTGATAGATTCTCCATTTAACCGAATGCGTTCCCGCACGGACACCAAGTGCGGCGAGCTGAAGAAGCCTGTACTAAAGCCATGCTGTCGCAGAATCGCCTCCGTAAATGCACATGTTGAACCTTTACCCTTGGTACCAGCCACATGGATGACAGACAGATTATTCAATTGCTCTAAAGTAATACCAGATCTGTAATAATGGACTTGAAATTAATAGATATGAAATTATATCAAAAAGCAAACTTTAATTCAAAATTTATATTTAATGTTTTTTATGTATGTTGCATTCTTAATAGAAAAGAACAGGGGCATGAAGATTTAATTTCATTATCAGAGTAAATATTCATTGAAGTATAAAATAATCTACTTAAATTTTTATTTTAATTATTAATGTTAAAGTACTGATAACTTTCTTACCTGAGTAAATATTTTTCTACTTCCTTCAATTTCGTAGAATTATTTGCATTCTTAACAGATTGTAAATAAGCAGTGTTGCTTTGTAAAGTAAGGCTTAATGCTTTTATGGCTTCCTAAAATCATATATATACTTATTCTATTTATAAATAAACTTTTTATTTATATATATTATATGTATTAACCTTCTTTCTTTGAAGAAAAAAAATGCCTACAATCACTAAATAATCATATTACTTTATTTCTCTTTAATTATAACAAAAATTTTCGATTTTTCAATGAATGCAATAAATTAAAAGGCAATAGAAAATTATGACAAAAAAAACAGCGATTGCCAAATACATTTACCTCGTAAGATCCATTAATATGGGCGGAACGGCCCAGAAATGTATTGTGCGTCATTCTCTTCAACAAAGTGAGCATCAAGATGCACTTGTGTAATCATACAAGAGATGATAAGCTGCAAATTTTTGTTTTTTATCTTTTTATCAGTCACGCACATGACGTGAAATAACTAAAGCTGGGGAGGAAGTTGAACTACAACCAAATATTTCTGTATCGAATGGAACAATATTTCAAGTCTTTCCTTAAGATATTGATGCGAAAATTAAATGTCTATCGAAAAAATGTCTATTGAAAAAGTCAGAATCCAGTGAAAAGATTCTCTAAGTAATTCCGCGTGTGAATTTCTCGCAGATAATTCAGTGAAATGTTCAGTGTTTTACATTATGTAAAAATTTGTAGATAACCTTGCGTTTAGTTGCTTAAAGTTTAACTCTTCGTACTTCGAGCATCGCATTGAGATTCATCGAAAATTAAAATGCAGAATTTTAGATTATACTGAAACGCGATTTAAAATATAATTTTTTTCAGATAAATCATCAATTTTAATCATTCGATCACATTCGACACAAATGCGTGATATGCGCAGTAACATGCATTTTCCCGCCACAAGCGGTGACATGACATATGACAATGCATTGGTATGTATTTGTCAAGCGGGGAGCACAAACTCTTGCATAACACATAATACATAACACGTAATACATACAAAAATGTACCAATCAACGTCCTTCGTTTCTTTCCTTTCCATGAAATGAAGAACTCAGATTGGTTAAATTTCTTATGTAAAAAGCTGGAAATGAAAAACTTAGGCAATAGGAACAGGGAATAAAAGATTTCAACCTATCAGAAAGCGTTCATTCTATTATTCATTCTGATAAGTTGAAATCTCTTATTCCCTGTTCCTATTGCCTGCTTTTTATTGTTTCCAGCTTAACGCATAAAACATGAAGCATAAGAAAATAACTGCGTTCGGCAATGCAAATCTGACGTGTTGAAGTGCTCTTTTTCTACAGTGCACGTGACATGCTATAATATAAGAACACCCGACGCCTTAGATTTGTATTAACGCAGTTAATCAATCAAAGTCCTTTATTTCATGAAAAGGAAAGAAATAAAGGACTTTGATTGTCATTTTACAGTTTTACCGATGTTTTCATTCTAAAGGCATATTCTTATTGAATATCGTGCTGGTGTGTTGGAGCCATTATGGCCAGCATAGACTTTTGCATAATACATAGTGCATAAAAGAATCAATCAATCGAAATTCTTCTTTTCCATGGAATAGGAGAAAAGGAAAGATTTTAATTCACTTATGCACTGTGCATTATGCTTTATGCAAAAGTCTGTGCTGACCTATAAGATGCAACCACAATAGAAGGAATAAAAAATAAAATGTCAACCTATTGGAAATCGGATACATTGGAATACATGGTTTCTGATAGGTTAAAATCATTATTCCTTATTCCTTCTATTGTGATTGCATTATAAGCCATTATTCAACTCCGATTAACTAATCGAAGATTAATCTATTGAAATTGATTAATCACATTTATCATTAAAACTTAAGATGCTAATACGGCCCTCTGATTGGTTCGTGACATTTTCAGACTGTACTTAAGATGGTCTTGAATGTAAAAATCGACTATGAATATCGCCCTTAAGTATAATCTTAAGATGTAAGTCAATCTGAGAACTACATTAGCATCTTAAGACATTATATTTAAGACAGTTTTAAAATAAAAACGGATTATAAATATTGTCCTATGTTTTGCGTTTCACAACCTGTAACCCTTCAACCTCATGAACAGTCCATAAACAGAGAAAGTAAAAATTTAGGGAGCGTTTATATTGGCGGTAACCGTATGCCATATGCCATAACCTGTAAAAATTGACTAATCTTCTTAGAGTATTCCCCTCCCATTCAACTGTAAGAAGGGAATACTCGAAGGTAAGGCCAATATTACATGCGTCCGTTTTTTGTCATACGTCGAATTTTTCAAGCGTGTCAATTGGCTGCTCGACAGAGAGGATCTCAGACCTCTTTGTCCTATAGCCAATCAACAGACTTGAAAAAATTGTCGTACAAAAAACGGACGTATGTAATATTAGCCTGTAATTTACCTGACAAGTGAGATTTAACTGAGCTTTTACCTATAATCTGCACAAAATCGAGTATTTTAGTGAATCTCGTAAATTCACTTTAAAAGTGAAATATGGACTTGTGTTGTCAAATGATAATTTTTTTACCAAAGTAAGCAAATAATGAAATCAGATAATAACGTCATTATCTGAGTATAAAATACTCACAGATGTCTGTATTAGTACAGATGTCTATACTAAATCACTAATTTCGACTAAAAACGTTGGACGGCTGGATATCCGGTTGAGTTTATTAAATGGCCACTCCAATCATTTTGCCCATACATACAAATATAACACATATACTGTCGCCGCCATTAAGGGTTGAATAAGTAGCAAAGTTATCCAATCACATGCGCGGATTACCAAATTTACCTCACAGGTAAAATTTACTAAAAGGTGAAACAACCGGCCTCTAATCAACTAAGAAGTTAGCAATCTAGTACTACTATAGACATCTGTGGAAATACTCGGTTCACTTTAACTCAGGGGTTGCGAATCAGAAACTATGTATTCCACAATACATGATTTCTGATAGGTTGAAATTCTTATTCCCTGTTGCCTATTTCTTTCATTGTGCGCAGCCTCTCAGTTTTACTTTATGTGTAAATAGAAAACAACATAGGACTTTACTTTATATTAAACGTGTTGCAACTTTATCTTATAAAAGCTACATTTACACGTAATGCGATTAATCGATGAATTAAAAACTCCTATTCTTATACTATGATTTGAACTGTCCAAACATGGTAACGCTGGTTCTATCTCGTGGTGGGGAATTGGGGGTTGGACGTTGCTTCTCTTGTGTATAGTGCTAGCGTTGGCATATATTACCTATCAGTAGTACAGTCCAGTCGTAGATAGAACACAGAACGGTTGCGATACGTTTTTTCATGAGTTTCGGAATATGCCTGCTCACCGACCGATTGTTTCTTATTTTTGAATCCATAAGACGATGCATTCCGATACTTATGGATCTAGACTACATTCCGAAACTCATTGAAAACAAAGCCGTGGAAAAATCGATTCGCTGAAAAAAAAAACGTGCAATTATTTTGTCCACGACTGTACAGGAGGACAGGAACCCCTATAGGCACTCACACTGGTCTGCTCCGTCAATGAATCAAGTTGCTACGTTACTTCAGACATGCGCACGAGTTTTCCTAGTGTGCAGACAAATTCTTGCTGAAAAAGGATTCAAATTCCACGCTATCTTGTTCACACTGTCTCAGGTCAACAATCAGCAGTTGTATCTCAGAAAGTTCTGGGAAATTCGGAATGCTGGTACTGAATATTCTGAGGGAGCTTCTTTCTTCGGTGAGATTGAATTAACATGTGTTTCTGCTCATTTCTGTTAACGTAGATTAACTTCAATCTTGATTTAATTTACTGCCTTTTTCCAATTCTTAGAATGACCTATGTTTATTTCTACCAACGTAGATTAACTTTAATTTTCAGTTTAACTTATTACTATTTATTTATTTTTTTTTAGTTCTAGAGTTTAGAAAAAGATGAAGAATAATTTGAATCGAGATTAAAGTTAATTTATAAAAATCGATATTAGTGATATATTGTGTAAATATACAAGTAAACATTGCTATCAGCACGAAGCGAAAAAGTGGAATATGCAGAGAGATAAATTTAAAAATCGAAGATTTACACAGAACTTTATTTATTTATATTAATCTCAAATACTTTTTTAAATATACTTAATATCATAATATAATATTTAATTGTAATTTTTAAATATAATTAAATATTAATATAATTAAATTATATTGTAATAAAAAAGCAAATTAATAATAGATTCAATACCGAAGTAGCCAATTTGGCTCCTCGCGAGATTCAAACTAATATAACTTTTTTCAATTTTGCTTCTACGTGATATTCTTTCGTGACTTTTCATCATTTTTCATGTTCTTAATTTTAATAAAAAAAATTTTCAATTATATAAAATGAGTTGAATTTTTATTTAATTGTCTATCTAGAAAGACTGTTGGAACCAATTTGGCTCTTTTATCCGATCTTTCTAGTCTTAATCGAAATTAATATTAATAAATTTATTTCACACATGATGCGTGATGATTTTGCTATGATTGCAAAATTTAATTGTCAAATTTGTGTGCTGTTTATAGCAAACAAATTTGCATATTTGATAAATATTTCGCATTTGTTGCAAATAATTTTTGTAGCGACAAAAAAGAATATTTGTTACACCTGCAAGTATAATTTGCGATCCCTACATTTGCAAATGGAATCCGTTATATGGATTTCCGTTATATGACTAATAAGATTTAATAAGATTAGCGTTCATAACAAATTTTTTTTTCTCAAGTCAAGAGAAAGTCAAATGGGATAATGCAATATTTGAGTTTTTTTAATGTTATTGCGAATAACAAGGACTAAAGTGATATATCGCGCGTCATACGTGAAATGGAACATACTTTTAATTAACTACATTATCTTCTTTAGCATATGATTCACAAAATAAAAAGATTATTCTGATATTACTATATATGTAATTTATTGCAACAAACGTTACATTAACGATAAACATAAAGTTTTTAAACAAGACAATTATAATTAATATTAAATTAACGTTGTTATTATAAATGTATCCTTCTTGATATTCAGAGATTGACAAAGATAGAACGACACTTGTGTCGACTTGTGTTATCAAATGAAAAGCACCCAATGTATTGCATTAAGGTACAATTTCATGCTGATGCTCGACGCTTATTTTTAGCATCAAAATAGACCATGTAATCAAAAATCAGTTGTAACTTGTTTTGATACTGAAAATAAACATCAATGTCAGCTTGGAAAGATACCTTTATATTATATTTAAAGATTACAATTACATGTTGTTAACATGATTCTCCACAAATTTTCTAAAAATTTCTTTCATATTTAACTTTCCGTTCGATCCGCGATTATCTATATAGTCTTTGTTGTCAAATTTTAAACAGAAAGAGACAATAAGGCCTAATCATGAACTATACCTTATTGTTTCTTCTCATTTCAATGTTTATATATTGCACTAAAAAAGTTTGACTGTATCCCCTCTCTTGCTTAAAAATAACTTCTTTATATATATTTCTTTAAATAATATTTACATTAATGCGTTGTTGTTTAAATAGTGTTCTTGAACAAATTACATTTCCTTCCAAATTATTTCGTATTTCTTTATCAAAATCCCGTGTCGAAGATATACGATATGATCGGATTTGAATCTACTAAAAATTTCTTGAGTACATTCCGCATGATACGCATGATGTATTAATTATTTTATTCTTTAATATTCGGTGAACAAAAGTAAAATGTGCATCATGGTGAAATGGAACCCTTATTTTCGTTTGATAAAGATGTTGATAGCGCGTTCGTCGAAAGTTCGTATCACACTATGCATTGAAGATTGCGAATTAAAGATTAAAATTCAACCATTCAGAT